AAAAATTTTTAATTTTTTGAGACGGTAGATTGCCGACTCAAAAAGTGATTAAATGTTTTAAAAAATTTAACTCATAATTTTCTCATTGAGGCTCCCAAGGTTCGAACACACACCCATTTGGACAATTTGACCCAAGGTCAACGCTCTAAATCCATTTCACCACCATACCTCTTTCAAATATTAAACGAGATATATATTATTTATAGTATATACACTCAATATTAATATAAAAGTATATGTATAAATAAATATATTTATTAAATATAATCAAATAAATAAATATATATCTTGGTTATAAATTTTTTTTTTTGCTATGGCATCAGTTGCCGACACAAAAAGGTCTAATTTTTTGCGTCGGCACAAATTTGCCGACGCAAAAGGTCTATGCCGACTCAAAAGGTCTATCTTTTGCGTCGGTAAATTCAACCGACTCAAATAATGCTATCAAATATTAATTTTTTGTGTCGGCCAACGGTGCCGACACTAAAAATTTGGTATTTGAGTCAGTAACTCTGTGTCGTCTCAAAAAGGCTACCTTTTGCGACGGTAAAATTTGTCGACTCAAAAAACCGACTCAAAAGGCCCTTTCTTTAGTAGTACCTTACTTTCTTCATCAATTATAATATTATGAAATAGCACGTGACTGTAAGCCCAAAATATCCAACAATATTAGGCTCACAACCTAGTGTTGTGGTATAGTGTTTTGGGTAGTGCCTTAGGGTATAAGTGGTTTGTTGTGGGAGACAGTGGCCCCGTTTGGTGTAGCTGTTAAAACAGCTTATAGATTATAACTTAACAGATTATAGATTAGGACTTTAATCAGAAGTTGTTAATCTGTTTGATGTAGTTGTTGGATTATAAATTTAAGTTGCTGAGTAGTGTTTGTTAAATAAGCTGTGAAATAGTTTTTTCAATTAATTTTTATTTTTTGTTTGTCTACATTTCTCACAAAAAATAATAATAATAATCTATAGTCCATTTGAGTCTTTTTCTATTTTTAAAAAAATAAAAAATAAAAAAATTTAAGAGTATAACCATAAATTAATATGTCCACAGCAGAAGCTCATAATCAGAAGTAAGGGTTGAACAGCTTCTCAGAATCAGCTTTTTTGAGTTAAAATAAGCTGTTAGAATCAGAAGCTGTTTGAAATAAGTTTAACCAAACAGTCCAAAATAACTTTTTCAAAGCTAAAAGCCATAAGTTGGCTCTAAAAAGTTGAAACAAACACCCCCAGTATAAGCTGCTGTTGGACAAAATGTTTTGGGAGATTCAAGCATTTGGTGTTGTGTAGTTAAGATCTATTTAGTTTTTTTTTTCTTACTTGTATTTCGTTCTTGTTTTTTGGTTTTTGTTCTTTTAATTTTAAAACTCGTGAAGCCGATGGGTTAGTTATGTGAATGCGAGCAATAGTAGTAGTAAGGAGTTTGCAGTATTTGAATTTCTCTGTACATTTCATTTCCTTGTACCTTTAATTTTTGTATTTTTAATAAAAAATTTAATTTGTTGATAAAAATAAAATAAAAAACTACCCAAGTCTTATTGTATCACTAGGATTGATTCTATCTATCACACAACACTGATGTATGCGGTTTGTTTTATTTTAAAAAGTTTTACACTAATACAGATCAAACTAATTGAAATAAAATTGGAAGATAAGTCATTAATAGCATGTTTTGTAATAAAAATTATGAAGGAAAATATTTATAAAACAACTTTCACAAAATCAAGAAAACCAAAATGTTTGATTCAGTGCAAAACTTCACTCAACCCTGACTGAACCAAACTACTTACACTCCTATCACGCAATATGATACTACTTATTTAAAATGGTTGAATCAAAATATATTTAAAATAAAATGGAGCCCATCGGGCAATTGATATCTATTATTTAAGTTGTTGTTTTTTATTCATTTTGAAATTAAAAATATGTAGAAAAAGATTAATTTGTATTCTTTTTTTAATTAAAATTTAGGCTTTGTTTATATGTTGTTTAGAATTAGTAAAAGTAAAAGTCTTTTATATAAAAAAACAATTAGCAAATATATAATGAAAATTTGATATTAGGGTATGCTAGTGTGACATTAAAAAAAAGAGTTAAATATCTAAAATTCTTATTTACAAATATTATAGTAGCTCGGGTCATATCTATGATTTTTTGAATCAATAAGTCCTATAATATTATCAATTTTTCTTAATTTTTAAAATAAAGAACATTATCAATTTTGCATAGTAATGTTCCAAATAATTGTTTAACTAATTGAAGGAAAAAAAAAACATAACATGAAATTAAACGTTTTTACCCTTCTACTTATTAGTTTGATTCAATTAACTAATAAAATCAAGAACAGTATCAATTTTTTTCAATTTTAAAGTTTTTTTTTTTTTTTAAGTTTTACACATCGATGTTCCATCATCATACTCCTTTATAGACACAAAATTTTCAGTTTTGCACAAAACACATGATTCCAAATTTTCAAAAAAAAAAAAAAATCATCACTATGTTTGGTTTGAGTTTTTTGGATTAAGTTTTTTGAAAACTAAGTTTTTTATTTTTTGTTTTTGTTTTTAGTGAATACTTTTAAAATTTTAAACATTTTCTTTTTTACTTTTTTAGATACACCTTACTTAGATGAATTGAATGAGTAAAAAATTTGGAAAAAATATTTTAAAAAATTAATAAATACATAAAAATACAAAAAATGTACTGATTTTTTGTAATTTTTTTTATATTTTTGGTATTTAGTGAATTTGTTAAAAACAAAAATTCACAAAAATTATACTTTTTAAGTTTATTTATGTTATGTGTGTCTAAAAATTTAAAAAATTGCTTAAAATATTAAAAAAATCAGTAACAACAAAAAATTACGGAAAATAAGAAAGTAGAATTTTCTAAGAAGTGTTTTCAAAATAAAGTTTTAGTTTTTTTAATTATCTAAAATTATACTTTTTTTTAGTTTTTTCAATTTGAAAGTTGAAGTTTTAAACTTTTGAAAATCAAAACAAATATCAAATCCTCCTATTCCTTTATAAATAATCATAAATGATGAATAATCATTATTTGAATGTCAATTCTGATTATTAAAAATTTAACGAGATTTGAAGATTCAAAAAATCTTAATTAAGATTTAATGAAGTATAAGTTCATAAATTAAGATTTCTGTATAAATGTCTCTAAAAGAAAGAGAGGAGGGAAATTACAATTCATGGGAAAGTTTTGAAAATTATTAGAAATTAGAAGAAAAAAAATATGATTTTAATTATTAATATTTATATTATTATCACTTTTTATAAATATTTTTAACTAATTACAATATATCATTAACACGTGGTATTCTTCACTTGGTAGATAATTCTACTGCAAGTGACTTAAGGGTTATTTTGAAAAGTGGATTAAAAATTACTTCCTAACTTTTAACTCATTTCTCTCTCACACAAAAAAATTAAAAAAAAAAAAAAGCTAAAAAACAGTTTTTAACCATTTTCACAAATCACTTCTAGTTAAGCAACTGGCATGCCAGCGATATGTATGCACACATAAAATCCACTCATGATCAATAATTGGCAATGAAAATTATCACATAACTCCAAAATTAAAGGCCACAATTTGAACTAGAAAATTAACTTACATCTACAATAAATCTGAATCACGTTTAATTTTTTAAACAAATTTCTGAAATAAATTTCTAAGTTTGTGGCAGATTTGATTCACATATAGTCAAATGCGAACTAACACACCAAATCCAAATCGAATTGTGCTTTTTGTTTAGACGGTGTTCTTACTTGTCCCATGGCAGCTTTCAATCTGCGAATCATCTCGGCCTTCTAGTTTGGTAGCGAGATGACGATGATTGGTGGTGGCGAGATGACGATGGAGGTTCTGATCCGCTAGGATTGAGGTTGTGATCGAGTCTACATGATCAACGACAAAGGCTTAAGAAAACCACCAAACTTCACAACAGTCGAACCATCCAATCAAATTCATTAATTCCAGAAAAATCAACCGATAGAGATAGTGGGGATGGAATGGTGGCGTGGTTTGTACAAGTAAGAAAACAGTGATGAGTATACTCTTGTATGGTGCAACAAAAGACCGCAGTGTGTAATACAGTGTTGTGCGTGATTGAGAGAAATAACAGTAAATATGTGCGAGATTGAGAGAAATAACAGTAAATATATGCGAGAAAAGTACTTGAATAGAGACTTTCCAGAGAATAGGTATAAATCTAAAGTTAAACTTTGGTTCATGGATTTTAATTAGAATTTAAAATGGAAAAGAAAAAAAATTACTGAAATGTGAATGAAATATAAATATATTTCACGTATCTTCCATGATCCAAACACAACATAACATAAGTAGGAACTATACATATTACAAATAAGAGAGGGTATTGTGATTAGGGATATAAGAAAAACTAAAAAAAACCAACTAAATCAATTGAACCAGACTGAACTAGCTCTATTTGGTCTTTTTTTTTTTTACAAGAATCGATCTGTGCAATTTTCTAATTTGATTTTCAATTTGGTGTCGATTCAAGCACGTTATGCACCGAATTAAACCGAAACTAATTGCTTTAACATATATTATATTTATATAATATATATAATCTAATTAAATGATATTAATAAGTATTATAAATTATTTACCTTAATTAATTAACCTTATCATCTCTATAACATAAGTTTATACTTTTTAAACTCTTATTTTTTCTGATCAGCAAAAAAAATACTTTATTGATAAAAGCAAACAAGAAAAGAACAATACATCAATAAAGTAAGGCAAGAGCGAGCAACTACATGTAGCCAATCTTAATCCCAACTAGGTTGATATCGAGATGACCACAGAATGACAGCTACTCAAGCCGAGGATGGTGACGCGCTGTAATGCCCCAAATTTCTAGCCCAAATGATAATACAACAATCATGTCTCTTTCAAGGAAAATCGAATATAAATCTTCAAACTTACATTACATGATACAATAGTTCTTCATGCAACAATACATTAATCCAACAACAAGTAAAAAAACAAATAAATACCTTCAAGGGGTTTACAAGTTTTCAAGGCTTGAGCCTGGTTACACAAAACAGTTATTCAAACTCACACACATACAACCCTTAACTTACACATAGAGTCACAGCAAAATGAGAGTCTCGTACTCTCAACACACATTTCCTCATTTCTAATTAGACGACATCGCCACATCTTTTCCTGCACAAAAATCCCGTAGGATGAGCATAAAGCCCAGTAGGAAATCCTTAACAAAGTGTATATATTTTATACAAGTCTCAAGAGATGAAATGCACATGCCATGCTATGCCCTTTTGAAAGAAAATCACATCTTCATATTTGAAAACCATCATGCTCAATGATGTCATGCAATTTCGATTTTTCAAAACTTAACAATTTATTTCAAGAGCGGTAAATACGACTTTGGTAATCCCTAGGTTGGTGTCTGCAAGTAGACTATACAAGTACTACTAATTTGTCATTTTAACCAGTATTAACTGGAAGGATAGACACCTATAATCTGTCATTTTTACCAGTATTAACTGGAAGGCTCTACACTTATTCAATTTCATCTACACCACTTGTCAAGACTTACCACCGTATTTACCCAAGAACCAATTCATGAAAACTTGTTTCTCAACATTCTTTTCTCAATGCAAGTTTTCAAATCAACTTTCAAAGTTTAATGTAATCAAATGAGTTGATATGCCAATAATACAAGATGAACATAAATACTTTTATTCTAATTCATCATCCAAGGAATAACATAATTCTTTCTTCTCAAGTATCCTTAACAATTAGTCATTTTATGACTATTTCAACATTTTGAACAATAATTTCTAAAATGAATAAAAATTCTCATATTCCCTGAAATTCATCATTTATATAAATATAAATAAGAAATTTTCCAAACATCCATTTATTTTGACTCACAAAATAAGAATAACAATATCATTCATAGATTTTCAGTCCCTTTAAAAAAAATCCCCAAATTCTAGGTTTTCTCATCAAAACTATACAACTCAAATATTTTGAAACAAAACTTTCCAAAATCATATTTTCTTCAATCAACGAAAATCAAAACCCATAAGATCTTTCTAAAAGAACAAGAGACAAACCTACTTTCAAAATCGCTCAACTTCTTGAATTAACAATCAATTTTCAAAGCTATCGAAGGATGATTTTGAAAATCATCTAGATCTTGAAACTCTAAGAAAATTCCTACCTCAAGTTTTGAAGAAATAGGATGAAACCCCCAAAATCAACGGTGTCGAAACTCGATCTGCACCGCACACAACGAAACCCTTGAGAAGTTAACCAACTTTGATAAAGAACTTATGGCAGAACTCTAATGGATCTTGAGAAATCAATGTTTTGATCCAATTTGGCGTAGGGAAATGTAAAGAGAAGGGAGATGAAATGTTTTTAGAGAGAGAGAGAGAGATATACAAAAGTGATCTAAAATATCAAATTCACGAATTGATATAACATGGTCCGCTCGAGCGTGGAAAGCCCCGCTCAAGCGTTGAATACATATTCCCAGTATTTTTGCAAACATGTCAAACTTCTGAAACCAAACATTCCTCCGCTCGAGCGCATACACGGCCGCTCGAGCGGACAAGCAACATCGAATGCATTTTGCATTTTTGCTTCGGGGGCGCTGCCCCCTAGACCCCTGCAAGCTGACTGAGCAGCTCGATCCCCGACCTGCCCAGTCGAAGTGGCAAAACATAAAAGAATGGTCGAAACCAGGATCGTTACAGGCGCTGACCAGAAAAGAAAACAAAAAAGAAGCACATAAGCCTCGGAGAGAAAAAAAAAAATGAAAACCAACAACCAATAAGCCAAAGAATCAATCAACCCCTTCCAAGACACCTTCTAATCTAATTTAGATTATAAATAAAATCACTCTCTGGGTATTGCCAAATCTTTGATGATAAACTGAGCCAAAGAGCTAATCTAGTTTTGATAAGCTCAGATAAGACCTGTCCGGTGTTCATTCGAGCGCTCCTCTTTGAGTGGGAGTTTGAGGGGTGATCTTCGTCCAGATGTATGTGTAGACACCCCATTTTTGACCGTCCTCAAGACTTGGACGTCACCGTTTAAACACTCGGTGATCATCCATGTTTGTGTTCGTCTTGAGTTCCCGGAGGTCTCGGCTTGCGCGCCTTGCCTCAGGATCTCTCGACTCGACTCTTTAGTATCTGGTTTTGCACCAAACACTTGTGTTTTGCCTTGGAGGGGCAAGGAATGCCTTGTGAGGTATCCCCACACATCACCGGCCATGGCCAGAGGCCATCGGCTGGAGTTTTGTTGCCATCGGCAATGTATATTGCCGGTCGGCATTCTTTGTTGCCGGTCGGCAGTCCATTTTGTCAAAATGGCAATTTTGAGCAGTCGACTACTGTTCATCTACTTTTAGTAGATATTTTGTGCCAGCTGTGATAGCTGGCACCCACTCTGTTCCCCTCCATACACGTGTATGAAGGGATTTCCCTCGAAGCAAGCTTGTTTGGTAAGCTTTGCAAGGGGACTTCTATAAGAGGAGAGCTCTCCTCCTTCTTCTTGGTTGGCAATTTTGAGAGAAAAACCACAGCTTATACATATACATACACACTCTCTCTCTATATTTCCCTCTCTCTCCTCCCTTGTGTGTGTTTTGTGGTCTAAAAGTGCATTTTTACCTTAGTTTTGCACTAACACACACACTACCACACCTTACTTCGACTTTAAGGCACTTTGAGGGTTGTTTGTTGAGGTTTTGGACTGGTTTTGGTCAATAGAGGATGGCTGGACCAACTGTTCTTCAAAGGATCTTCAAGGGTAATCACTTTACTTTAGTTTTTCCAATCTTGCATTGGCTTTTGACCTATCTTGCTTTCTGTTTTAGGCTTTGTGTATAACTGAAAAAAGCTTTGTATTTTCATGCTTAAGACATCCCATTGAGGTCGTTTTGGCATTGGGGGTCGAACTCCCCCTCTTAGCCCTCTTTTGGTGCCTTTTTTTAAAGCCTTGTTGACCTTTGGTGTATTGCTCTTTTCACCACTGAAATCCAGTGGATTTTCAGTGGTGATGGAGTGATTTTGAAGTCTTGTAAAGGGGAGGGACACCCCTCTCCCCTTTGTCCTTCTTTTACCTTTGTTTTGGCTTAAAAGGGCAACATGCATGCTTGATCATTTTTGGTCCCATTTCAGAAGTTTTTTGGGTGTTTTGGGTCATATTATATCTCTGTCCAATGATGGTTTGTTGGCCCTTAGCATGCATTTTATACTTGCTTTGTAATTCTCCATCTTGCCTAGAAGTGTGCTATATGTTTAGCCTAGCATATCCTCTTGTTTTGACTTAACTTTGTGAAGTATTTGGCCATGTTTTGTCATGCTTAAAATCTGTTGGCCACTGATTTTGTCATGTTTGGCATGCTTGATAGGGTTGCTTTGCATTTTGGCTTGTAAGCCTTGGTTGTATGGGTCAGCAACATGCTTAGCATAAGCTTGTTATCATCATTTGACATCGTGGTAGATCATATTTCAGTCCCTAATCCATGTTTGTATGTTTGTCTTCATTATCTCTTTCATGCTTTGAAGGGTTGTCCTTTTATGCTTTGGAAATGGTCATTGTGCATGCCTATATGTTTAGCATTTAGGCTGCCATATCAGTGGGTTTTGAGGGCCCTTTTGCATGTTAGAACTCTGTTTTGTATTGAAAAATTCATGCCATGTTTGCTTGGGATAAGTATTGAGTGATGCTCCCTTTTGGTGGCCTTGAATGCCCTTGTTTTGGACTCATTCTTTGGCATGTCTTGACCTTGATCTATGCATGCTTTAGTCTTGTTTTGGAGTCCCTTGGGACTGTTTTAGGTCATTTTGATCCTTTAAGGTTTGGTTGACATAGCTTTGGTTTGACCCCCTTTATTGACTTCAAGTAGTGGTCACTGTTGCATGCCTTACTTGCATGATTTGTTCGATTTGGCATCATCCTCTATTCATTTTCAGAGCCTAGCATGTTGGTTTAATGCCCTTTTATATCGCCTTTAAGTGTGCTTAGAGTTGTCCCCTTTCATGCTTAGGTGATGGACCTTGATGTGTGCATGCTTGCATGCATCATTTGTGCTCTTGTACATCGTTTTGGCCACTGTTCATGGCAAGGTTGAGGTCTGCCATTTATGGTTTAAGTCCACCATTGCATGCTTATCATATGCTTGTTGCTTATTTGGTTCATTATATGTTGTCCCATGCTAGCCTTATGGCATATTGGTCCATGTTTGCATCACATTTGCATCTCATATGACTAGCATTTTGCATACTTAACATGATAGATTGCATCACATTTGACATGTTTTGCATCTTAGTATCATGTTACATTTTGAGCCATGTTTGCATGACATGCATTGCATTGCTCGATTTGGGGTGTCAAACCAAGTGTGAGGGATGAGGGGCGTTTGTACTTCGAGTGACAAAACACAACTTAACCCTCGGTCACTGAGGCCCTTGACTTTGGCATGATAGGACCTTGGTCCTCATTTGTGTGTTGCATGCATTTCTACATCGAATTGTAACCTTGGCTCCTTAGGCTATCATGCATCAAATGCACGATTGATAGCCCGAGGGTCAAAGGCCATGCTCCCTTGAGTCCGTTACATGATTGGGAGAGTAGCCATGCATACACTTGCTTGAAATTCCATGCCATACACTGTCTGCCCTTGTTGTTGTCAAAAACCAGATTCTGCAGGAACTTTCTGCCGACCGGCAGTGTTCAGTGCCGATCGGCAATCCTTCCAGGGCCGATATCTTTATCAACAGCCGATGGATATTTTCAATGACCGGTGGACATTTCTTCCAGCCGATGGTGCTCCACGGTGTTCAGGGGACCTGTCCCAGAATTTTGACAATTTTTAGAGAAGCAGGGCAGTGTAAACAGAGGCAGCTGTGGTATGGTACGGACTTTCCGGGCGAGACGGGTTCGAGCATGCATCATTTGTGCATCCCGAGGCGGGGGCTGTGGCCACCTTTCTTCTTTTTGCATTCATTCTGTTAAGTAATTAGAAATTCTGTAATAATTTATGTGTTTATTATTCGGACTGTAATATTTATTTAGACCCTCCGAGCGAGGGCAATTGTGTAATAAGTGTACGTGAGTGTGTGTATGTCTTCCAACCCCACGTCTTTCTTCCCTTTTATTTACCCGCTTATGATGGTAGACTAGGGCATATTTAAATTAGCATACCTTATGCTATGCATGTGTGCATCCATACATTTGTCTTGCATGCACCGGGCTCGGTACATCATGCTAACTGCATTTGTACTTCAATTCCAAATTGAATACGTGCATCAATTGACTGCGTTTCACATGCCATGCTTAGGTTAGCCGAGCCTACTCTAAATTGCATCCTGTATGTGTCGCATTAGTCAATTTGACATGAACTAGGACCATGCATGTTGACTAACTAATTTATTGTTTTGGCATGGGGTACGATGTAAGTATTTTCATGCTTTAGCATATCGCATGCGTGTGAATGCTATCATGACAGCATGCTTACCATGTGGCTAAATGTTTATGTGATAAACTGTTTGAATGCTTGTGGGTGAAGGTTGGATTGTCTGAGTTAGAAAAACTCGTTGAAATCCGTATTTTTAGCCTACTTGCGAGTAGCAAATTCCAAAGTGTTTTTCAAGACAAACGGATATGCAATGCTTATTTCCAAATTGGGCAATCTAGTCTATACTTGTTTGCTGTGCGCATAATATAGTAATTCTGGGCTAATAACTGGAATAAGGGCATATAACGTTTTCAAAAACGGATATCACGGTTAGTAGAGGCCGATCTTCGGATCGGGCGAGAGGGGGTGCTCATAGCTGACCTTCCCCAATCGTACCCAAGTTCCCGAGCCGAGGCAACTTTGGTGATGACGGACACGTGGCCTTAGGCAAACGAGTCAGGGTTTCCTAAAATTCCCCAAAATAAAATATCATCTCCTCCTCCTGAATATGTTCAACTGTTTACAGGTACGTCCCTTTCCTAGAGCTAACATCAAGTGAGATCAGTCTTCACTCTACAGTATAATATCCTTTTATAGGAAGTTGAATGTGTACTATTAGGATTCATTGCATAGGAGAAACTTCTGTGATCATTCTGATATTGAACTTGTTCATGTAAACATTAATTCGTTCCTAGGCAAAACCTTCAGAAAAGAAGCAGACTGATGTTTCTGTAGTTTCCACCACTGTAATTCAAAATTATTATTATTTTTGTTTGCATTGTAATTCAAAATTGATGAATGAAAAAACCGCAGTTTCAAAAATTTAGAAAATAACCATCTTAATATATGTAAGTTTCTTCAATGTAGCTGTGTAAGGTTTTGATCTCATCAAGTTTTGGCATGGTTTGTCATGAGATTGGTTTCTCATATTTCTTATTCTTGTCTATGCTGCTAATTAGATTAAGTTTACATAGATAGAATCAAGTCATAAAAACATCAAAAATGCACTTGTCTCAACAATGGGCTCGCCTTCATTGATATCTTTGTCATTTTCACTAGGGGTGGGTGTCATCGTATTGATGTGTATATTTAAATTATTTTTTTTATGATTTAGTTTTGTATATTTATGATTTAATTCTGTATATGTAGATATTATGTGATTAATTTCTTAGAAAAATGGAAGTGTTGGTAAGGGTACCTTGAATACTGAAACATAGAGTTGATATCTGCTGTTGCCTTTTCCAAGATGGATTGATTCCAAAGCTCCATTTTCATTGTTTAGCTCAAATTCAGTGTTATTTGTTTCTGAGTTGAACCCAAAAAACTGGAAAATAGAATAGGAAATTCACTTGACCCACAAAAAAAAGAGGGAGATTGTAAAGTTTTTGTCTCATACCATGTTTGCATGTGTGCTTTTTTTCTTCCCACGACTCTTCTTCTGTCTTTTGGAGAAAGAATAAGATTTTGAGTGGCCGATGGGTGTAGTGGCAAAAGCAGAAAATGAAAAAGTTTTCTCCACCCAAAGGGATCTTTGCTGGATGACTGTGAAGTCTTTGTTTTATGTAATGGTTGCTTGCTTCTCTCTCTCTCTCTCTCTCTCTCTCTCTCTCTCTCTCTCTCTCTTCCTTATCTTTAGATACACAAAATATTATGATTTATTTGAGTGGAGAAGATGAGTCTGTCCGTTGTCCACCCAAATAATGCCTCCATGATTGAGATTTTGACCTTAACTAAGCAAACAAAATTCCTCTACGCTGGATTTGTACTATTGAGGACCACAATGTACACGTGTGTCTGGACCCACCCACACAAACATCTCCTTACCTAACTGTTAACCCTTGTTCAATCATCGCCATCCAACTTAGATCAGACGGTTGCAATATGTTATACCCTGATCATGCATGCATGTGACCTACCTTCACAGACATTCTTTTCTTCTCCTCCTTCATTATACTTAACGGTAAACAAGAGACCAAACAATGACTTCCAAAGTCATAATTAGATTGTGTTTGGATGGAGTGATTTGTGGTAGAATAAAAGGGGCAAATTTTACTCTCGCCCACTGGTGGTGAGCTCATGTGCACATAATTTTTATTTTATCTGAAAATAAATTAAAATACATAAGTAATTTCATTATGCTAATCATAAACATTTTTTGTCATTTTTTAGAAAGCAAAATTCACTTCGACCTCCATGCTTATTTCATATGCAGTTTGTTTCTAATTGTTTTTGTCACTTGAACAAAAAGGTTCATGTCAAATGACAAGGTATATTCCATATAAATTAAACCATAAATATACCTAAATAATCTAATTTATTACCATAAAATTATTTAATCTAATTTTTAATTTTTAACACAATTTTTTATTTAATAAAATTTTAAATTTTAAAATAAACATAAACATATATACACACACATATGTATATATATAACAAATTAAATAATAAATTAAACTAAATATTATAATTTATTACCATAAAATTACCTTATTTAATAACATTTTAAATTAAACATATACATAATTCATATATATATATATATAGATATATATGTAAAATAAATAAAATCATAAATTGACTTAACTTATTTTATTATCATAAAAGTAATTTAATCTAATTTTTAATTTTTAACTCAATTTATTATTTAAGAACATTTTAAATTAAGCATGTATATATATTTAACAAATTAAATCATAAATTAATTAATTAAAATTAGAAACTAGGTTTATTAAAAAATATATTTAGGAAACTTGAGTTTCTTAAATTAGTATTGTATTATGTTTTTAATTTTTTTGCTTAATCATGGAGGGAAATTTATTTATTTATTTACAAAGACGGTCAAAAATAAAAGAAGAAGATATAGAGGGTATAATTGTCTTTTTATTGTTAACATTAACAGTATTAATATTGTATTTTAGTACAAAATTACATTGGCGATACATAACTGTTTTTAAAAGATAAGAGATTATAATACTATCGAATCATATTACAAGGAAATAAAATGAATTTTGCTCAATAAAGAGAATGAGCAAACTTCACGAAGCATCTCGATGGGTTGAACAAAATATTAACATTGAATTTGATGTCTTTGATGCCAAAGATCCAAGAATAAGATAAAACAATTCTTTTGTTGGTCTGTTTAGTGTTGTGATGTGATTATTTAGACTGTCTTAAATCATTAGTTTGGGTAAGAATTTAGGGGAGGGACAATTGAGCAAAATATGAATGAAATATAATTATATTTTATCTATTTTTTTTTTTTCATCTTTATAAATTTTCATAAATTTTCCAAATACAAATATATAAAATTTAGATTAAGGACCTTGACTCTAGATGTTCAATTCATGTGTACAACTAACAACATTTTATTTTGGAAAATTTATTAGAAAATTTTCTTTCAAATACTTGTATTTTAATTGGTCCATAACATATTTTTATATTTTAATAAGTCTTATTATTTGACCAAATCCTAATTATTTATGGAAAATTTTACCCCTATAAATATTTTTTTGAACCCTTAACAACTTGGTGTGCATTATTTTGGACTATTTTGTACTTTTTATACATTAAACTTTAAAAATTCATAATTTTTGTTGTATATATATATTTTTTACGAAATTTATACTTTTGAAACCTAGTTAATGAGATCTATCAAATAAGATTTCACTTGAATATACAATTTTATAAAATAAAAATAAATAAATAAATTTAGAATTAATTACCTAAAAGTCCTATCTACATATTTAGTAGTAGCTTAGGTCCTGTCAAAAAGTTTTTGAACCAATAAGCCCCATTTACAGGTAAAAAGATGTTTTGCCCTTTTAACCCAAATAAGTGTATATATAATAGCATTGCCGTTAAACTGGATCAATGCCAAAACTGAGAATGTTCTCAATTTCAAAATAGAGAATGATTTCAGTATATAATTATCAAAATTAAGAAATTTATCAATTTTTTTTCTAGTATGAATTGAGAATATTATCAATTTTAAAAAATTCTCAATTTTTTTCATGATTAAAATTGAGAATATTATAAACTGAGAATATTTTCAATTTCAAAACAGAGAATGATTTCAATTTATAATTATCAAAACTAATAAATTTCTCAAATTTTTTTCTAATATTAACTGAGAATATTATCAGTTTTGAGAAATTTCTCAATTTTTTTCATGATTAAAATTGAGAATATTATCAATCTTCTCTCTCTCTCTCTCTCTCTCTCTCTCTTACATTTACCTTCTCCTCCTCCATCTACACTTTTTAGATCCGGAAATCTCCTAATCTAGTTCTAGATCTGGTATTTCAGATGACAAGTTTAAAATACCTTATGTCCGACGATAACGGTTTTCAAAACAACATCAATGAGTCGCTACATTCACACTATCAGCAAAACACTTTTGGTCATTCTGTTAATAATATCATCATCGATGATGACGACCATCATCAAGCAGACGAAGAAGAAGATGATGATGATCAAGTAGTAGAATGCCCTGTCAGAAATAATGTTGCTGTAAAAACTCCAAGTCTGAGGCAGCGGCGTACACAAGAACGGCAACGACGTTTCCGTCTTTGCAAGAGACGAATGATTGTGAGCTATGGTGATTGAAAACTTTCTTTGCTATAGAGTTTTGAGAGAGAGAGAGAGAGAGAGAGTGTCTATTTGGTTGTTGTCATTGAGGAGTGGGTGTAAAAGTAAGAGAGAGAAAATTAAGATAGCAATTGTTGGTAGCAATGGAGGAGGTCTTGGAAGGGTAAATTGGTCTACTAAAAATTAATGGGACTTGAAGGAGTAAATAATTTTATTTAGGACTTAATGGATTATAAGTTCATAAAATGGGACTTGTATGTAAATGCTCCATAAATTTAACAGTATGAACATTCCATGATGTGAACATTCACATTAAATAAATTTGACAGCGTGAATGTTTAAATTGGCAGTGTAAATATTTACATCACAAAATATTCACACTATCAATGTGAACATTAATGCGCGCTTCATCCTATTATTATTAACAATATTTTGGTAAGTATGTTACCCATAGGACTTATTAGAACCTAAGAAAATAATTTAAACTAAGTGAAATATAAGTAGGTAAAAATAGATTTATGAATATATGCTCCTTTTATAGAAACAATTACACGTTAGTAAAGTTTTTACAAAATATTTATAGATTGGTAAAAAAAATTATAAATTTAATTATTAATACTTATAAATTTTAATTGATTTGATATTTTTTTTTTTAAAACACAGTAATTCTCCCTATTTTATACCAATCGTAATGGGGATGACATTTTGTTTGAACCAAGAAAATTCTATGTTATTCTCTTTTCTATGTCTATTTATTTTTTATTGATTCTGTCGAACCATTCTTATGTAAAGAAACACATCGCAATCCGAGAAGTTATATAGGGATAGATTAATCTTATTATTCTAATAAAAAATTAAATTAATTTTTTAAATTTAGTGATGTGATAAGAAAAACAATATAAAAGTTCATTTTGTAGATTTACTTTATAGAGACTCGATGACGTGTAAATGAGATGATTGGTGAATGATTTGATAAGATATGAGAGAGAGATTTGCTTTAAATATTTTAATACATTGTCACATCATTAGGTTTGAAAAGTTGATCTAATTTTTTGGATTTGAATAGCACTATTTATGTGACAATTTATTAGAATATCTAAGACAACTTTCTCTTCTCTAATCATCAGTTAATTATTTCTTGTATGTGACAATTTATTAGAATATCTAAGATAACTTTCTCTTCTCTAATCATCAGTTAATTATTTCTTGTATGTGACAATTTATTAGAATATCTAAGACAACTTTCTCTTCTCTAATCATCAGTTAATTATTTCTTATAAACTTCAATGAATCTATAAAATGGACTTGTATATCATTTTTTATAAGGATAATTTGACTAATTTGAGTATAAAAAAAAATGCAAGATATAATTTTACCAAAGTAAATTGTGTGTTTTACATGACAAAATAGATATATAAAAAGAAAGGTCTTAACATGCGTGGTCTGCTCAGGTGATCTTCCAGGTGATTGTTAGCGAGTTCTTTTCCCTCATTTGTCTTTGGTGGGCAATTCTAGATGAGTTTCCCTTCAAGTTAAAAGATATAGAGGACACTAGAATCAAGGTGATCTTCCAGGTGATTGTTAAACAGTTGCATAACTTGTTTATAACTCACATTCCATACATACCTGGAACCTGAAGCGATTTCTTCGAGTTTGAAGAGATCGTATGCTTTATTGAAATACTCTGGGAACATTTCCGATAACTCTCTCTCTACATCTTTCTCCGTTTTCTTATTCGTCTTCGTATGTTCCTATGTCCCACATGTCATAAATATGAATTACTAACCCAGACAAAACCAACTTCTTTTTTTTTTTTTCTCAATTATCAAAATTTCATTTTGATTATTTCACTATCAATTGTGAATTTTAAGTTAATTTGCAATACGCTTCGGTCTATTTACCATCAATGATGCTTATGAAAATTTAAAATTCAAAGACCAAAGTAAGATATTGGTGAAAATATAAGAACCAAATTGAGTTTTTAATAAAAATATGAAAATTATTTGCAGAACGACTATATGATAAGTTCTATCAATTTTATTAATTTTAAATGGACAAAATATTAATATTGTAATTTGACCTACATTATAAATAATTAATTATCACTGGAGGAGGCAAAATGAGATTTTGGTGAATCTATTAGAATATTTAATTTAATCAATATTGTATAGAGTTTAATAGAGCCTATTACTCACACAGTGTTGATACATGAAAATGTAAATAAATGCGATTAAAAAAAAGGTGAAATTATTGTTTCATATGAGTTTATTACACAAAGACTTCTTTAATTATTATCAAATATCACTTTACTCATTTAATCTATGAAATTGTACATCTTGATTTCTTTAACTATAAAAATATATTAGTTTTGCCATCTTCAAACCACTTCTAAAAGGGGTGAATTTGTACAATGTTTATAATTGAGAGTATCAATATGTATGGATTGATAAATGAATGAATAAAATAATATTCGTTAATAGTTGAAGGGATATTGCGTAATTAACTATTTCAACAAACTAACCCTTGAACGTAAACTTACATTGATGTGGACAATAGCATGCCTCACAACTTTGAAGGCATGCCAGTAACTTAGATCAGGTGGACTTTCGCCAGTTGGACCACGTCGTCTTTTGTTTTCAGCTTTTTTCTTTTCTTCTTTCTTTTCTTCTTCAAAACTTATAATCTTTTCGTAGTACTTTTGACCTTTAACGTCTTTAATCCAATCATAACAATACGACTTTTTTGTTTCTTCATTCAAAACATCTCTAAAACAATCCCCAGCTTTTTTGGCCTTTTCATGACCAGGATACATTGCTAGAGTATCCATACTAACCGGTTGAAAGAACCTTTCCATTGGAGCCATTAAAATGGGATGAAAGTACAATTTTGACAGACCCGACCTGTATATATACATTAAACCCATGTAAGTAAACACAATTATAGCACTAATAAAAAAAATACAAAGACAATGAAATTTGTATTTTTATCATTCATAGTCATTTTTAATAAAATTTGTATTTTTGGAATTTACTTGTGTAGATCTATAAAACAAAGACAATATTGGATATGAAATTACGTTAAAAAGAATAACAAATGAAATTTTCTCTATTTTTAATTTGAGTAATTGAGAAATTTTGTAGTTGTTGTGAAGAAACTATGAAAGTCCGCTCATTTGATAAATTTATCTAATTTTTATTAGAAAAATGTTTGGAAGTTATAATTGAGTACCTCCAAATCCACCTCTAATGACATGGAGTAGACTATGTGAAGGTGGATCCACACTTCATTCTTTATTTCTCTACTCTCTCTCTCTCTCTCTCTCTCATCTCATTAGAAGTCAAAATGGAGGTGGTGTATTAGAGGATGTGACATCACTCTTTTTATTAACCGTGAAAATTTCTATGTTTGAGAAATTAATATGAAAAATTATGTAATTGAGAAATTTCTTAGTTAGCAATGAAATTTCTTAGTTAAAAAGTGAAAATTTTCAGATTTTTTCGATTAAATTTAAAAAATATTAATTTTCTTAAAATGAATTTACTATACAAAAATATGAAATTTTAAAGTTTTGAATTAAAAAACATTACTGCCTCCAAATTGCTTATATACCTAATAACAGAAGTTGTATCAATCAAATGGTGATTCACTATACTTAGTAGATTAATAAAATTTTTATCAGATTTAATCTAATAAAATGATAGATAATAGCACCAATAAGAAAAATTAAAAATACACAAATTAGAGATAAAAATGAGATTATATATAGCATTGCTAATAAAAAAAACTGACCGTAAAAGGGAGAGGAAAAATGGAGATAAAAGTATAGAACTCTTACGCATTGTTGACTTTAGCGCTCTCATAAAAATGTTTCAATTCGACATGGTTCTCACGACGACCAATCACCTTCTCAAACAGAATCTTCAGATCGTTAAAATCCTGATATAAATTATTTTTGTGGGTTTCACACTCATTGTCACCCTCCAAAGGAGGACGAAACTCATTTCTTATGAAGGCAAATTTAGGCTTGCCATTCACAATCAAAATGTCTTTGATTGAGAGACGTCCATGAGTGTGTCTTTGGCCATGAAGTTCACACATGCCAATTATAATGCCCCTGCAATAACATTTTATTAGTTTGTCATCTTCTAAATAAATGTACTTATTTAGGTAAATACACTTCTTTGGATCACATCATTTTTTATTTTTTTACACATATTTTCGTGAAAAATTAAAAAGTACACCTATTTAGATCATCTCATTAACTAGCTACTGCTACTACTATTACAACTGTTGTTGTTATTATTATTATTATTATTATTATTATCTCCTATTGATTGTTAAAAAGAAAAAAAAAATTCAATTATTAACTAAAAAACTCATTTTATAGAAATATATTTAACTCATTTGACGGACCCCACTTTCTCTCACAATGTGAATTGAATTTTGAATTTTTGAAATGAGTTTTGAAATAAGAAAAATTGTTTGATTAGAGTTTTCAAAGCATATGCCAAAAAGAACTACTTTTCTACTTCTTTTTCTTTTTTTTATATATTTTAATATTAACTTTTTTTTGTTGCCTTATTTTTAGCCAATAATTAAGGTACTGTTTGGTTTAGTTTTAGAACCATAATTTGATAATAGAGTTATATTTTGAATTTGTGAGTTGTTAAATTATGATTTAAAAAGAAAAAAATTGTTAGTTATGAGTTTTGAATTGAATTTTGAATTTTTAAAATGACTTTTGAAATAAGAAAAATTGTTTGGTCATGAGTTTTGAAAAAAAAATTCAAAACTTATAACTCATTACTAAGCACACAACTCAAAACTCTAAATTTTTTTTATTCAAAACTCATAATCAAACTCTTTTTAAAATTCAATTCAAAAAAACAATTATTGAATTTTTTTTTTAAAAAAATCAAAAAATTCCTAAAATATTTTTTTATTTAAAATATTAAAAAATATATACTATTTTTTCTTAAAAAAAATATTCAGCTAGTACTTTAAAATTACTTTTGACTGTATATTTGATTGGAATTTTTTTTAATTGTTTTGTTTAAAAATATATATTTTTATTTTTTAAAAAATACTGTGACAAATTAATTTTTATTTAAATTTTTATTTTTTAATTTTAAATAAATGGCTAAATATTTTGTCATTTTAGTCTTAAAAAAATAATTTCTATATTTTAAAAATATCAAAAATAAATATAATTTTTTTTTAGCCCGGATTTTTTATGTTAAACAAAGCCTAAGACATATAGAGTCTGTGTTTGGCAAGGGCTTTTTCAGGCTTTTTTGGTTATTTTAGCCACAAAAAACAAAATAGGCTATTTTAGCCATAACAAACAAAACATCACATCCAACCCATAATCATTACACTCTTCTCTCACAAAAAAAGTCAAAAAAGCCAAAAAGCCCTTCCCAAACCAAGCTTTTTAGCCCAGGCTAAAATAGCCAAAAAAGCCAAAAAGCCAAAAAGCCAGCCCACTTCCCAAACGGAGGCAGAATGATACAGTGGTCCGTGATAAAAAAATAACTCGGAAATGTTTTTAAACAAATAATTTTTTAAAGCACAATATTCAGTTATTTATGTTGAGCTATAGCTTTTTTAATCCGTTTTGACTTGTTTAAGGAATAATTCAAAAAATAAATTTTTTTTTATAAGATTTATCTATATTTTGGAAATTACTAAAAAAGCGTCATTTTTTCAAACTTTATTTTTTTCATTAATGAAATCTTGCAAAATGTGCAGTATTATTATTATTATTATTATTATTATTATTATTATTATTATTATTATTTATTTATTTATTTTTTACTCATCATGTTCTTCTAGTATAGAAAAAATCTACAAATGAAAAAAATATACATGTATTTTTTTTTTTGTTGAAAAAACTACTAAAGACCAATAAATAAAAGAAAAAAAAAGGCACATTACCTGACCTTTTCAATAAAAAAAAAATATATTTTTTTAGTATTTTCCAAGTACATTAACTCTTTTAGTAATAAATTTATCTTTTTTTAAAAAAAATTATTTATGAATGGGAGCAATAATTTTATCTTGGAAAAGAAAAAAAAAAGTGTTGTTAAAATAATAATAATAACAACGTTACAAACACAACACTAAAAAAAGGTAATTGTCAAACTCAACCTTAAAAAAACAATCATGAAATCCAATGGGAGTGGAGCCTAGCCACACTATGATGCTCATCATGAATAGACCGTAGGGTAAAAAAAAATAGTGTGTCCGTAAAAGGGCTGGTAAGACATACCGGATTATATCTTGATATTGTGAATCAAGTCGTAAACCGCTCCAAATTCTCGAATGTTCCGTTTTATATTTTTCTAAGCTATATTGAATCTTGTCCACAGCAAGCCAGTAGCGATCTTGATTTTGGTGTTTTATGATGAAATATGACTTGAGAAAGCTCACACCTTGGAGTTTTGACAAATTCTTATGAACAACCTTTGCTTCCCTCTCAGTTTCAAATCCCAAAAATGACCTCTCAAACTCAACCTCCATATCTTGTATTTTAACCCACCCATCCCGAATAGAATCTTCAGGTGAATTCTCTATTTTGTACTTAACAGGAACATTTGTTGAACCACTCTACAAATCAGAATATATATATAATCAAAACCTCAAAATATAGAAAAATCTCAATTATAAAAAGAAATAATCAATTCTCATAAAAATATATAAAATTTTTCTGTTTTGACTTCAATTAAGGGGGCTCACTTCTGGTGTAGATTTCATAACACACATGCACAACCATTAGTCTACATATATATGAGCAATATATATATATATATATATTTATTAGCAGATGGTATACGCGATGTATGTGCAATTCAGATATGTAAGCATAAAAATAAATAATAAATAAATTAATATTATAATATGTATGTTGTCTAAATGATAATAGTGTTCTTAATAAAACCTAAGATTTTTGATTCAAATCTTGCTCACGCATTTAAATAATATTTTTTCTTTTAGGATAGAAAAATTTATCACATGACAAAAGGAAGTTACCACACTTTTAAATACCATCTCAGTGCTCACATATATAAAAGTATAGATATAAGATATGCAAGAGGATTTTTAAATGTTGGCGTGGGGTGGGGGTTGGCACCCTAAGCCATATGGTAATTCTATTACTGTGATTGTCACATAATTTTTTTATTAACTTATCTAAAATCTGTATCTGTAAACTGATTTTCATGTTTATAAAATTAAACGAAGCTGACATAATAAAATTAATATCATTTTAAAGATAAAATTTTTAGTGATGAAATACTCTACTTTTTGGACCAAAATTTTTGTCTAAAAAAGAAAACATTTTTTTGCATCAAATTTTTATTTCTAAAAGTACATTTATTAGTGACTTTTTAAAAAATTTATCGCTAAATTTTTTTTAAAGCTGCCACTTTTTAGCAACTATCGGAATTGATTTCCAAATATTTTTTATAGCAAAATTTTCACTTTTGGGACAAAATTTGGTTCCTTAAAAAACCCTTATATATTGTGGTGGTGTGGTTCAGATTGATTTACAATTCAAGAGTTAAATCTGTATCATGCATTAAGTTTCTGGGTAAAATTCTAGACTTCTATTTTGTGTACTTGGCTTTTCTATGCGCAAAAAAAAAAAAAAAATTTTTTTTAAAGCTGCGACTTTTTAGCAACTATCGGAATTGATTTCCAAATATTTTTTATAACAAAATTTTTACTTTTGGGACAAAATTTGGTTCCTTAAAAAACCCTTATATATTGTGGTTGTGTGGTTCAGATTGATTTACAATTCAAGAGTTAAATCTGTATCATGCATTAAGTTGGGTAAAATTCTAGACTTCTATTTTGTGTACTTGGCTTTTCTATGCGCAAAAAAAAAAAAAAAATACCCTTTAAAACGTCAATCATTTTTCTGGTTGATTGATTTTTTTCCAATGAAAATAGTAAACGTGTAACATATATCCCGATCAAAAAAATGTAACATATATCAATGGGAGTCAAGTGATGATCCATCAGAACTATTGTACTTTATTAAGATGTTAAGAATTTAACTCACTACTTGTGTAAAAGTTTATTTTCCTAATTTTATTTGAAGTCCCTCTTCCCTCTTTGGGAGTTTATATATAGTTATAATTTATACCCTAATTGACTATTGATTCAATTTCATTGAATTTTTTACCTACATTGTAATAAAAAAATAAATAAAAACATACCTAATGCGTTTTTATTTTTGGAAATTTTACACATTTCCTGGCAATAGGTTTACCTTTCTAATCAAGACAGGCAAAAAAATTATAACCAAATGAAACAAACCTTGCTAAAAAAATAAATAACAAACAAACAAACCAACAAAGAAATAAACAAACAAACCAGTGTCCCTTGTTGTCCAGCCATCTATATTGCCCTGCAAGAAACATATTACATTATCAATACACCCCCCACTATAGGAAGCCAACTATACTACAAATTATTAAAAAAAAAAAAATTTAAAAAAATACTTACAAAAAAACATTTATACATTGCAATATGAGCCTAAAAAAGTATCCAAGAAAAACCTAGAAAAATACCCATAAATTTTAAGATATCTTTTCATAATCCATAAGTATTTCTGATAGAAAGCATAGAGGAAAGCATGGTACACTCTCATAATCACAGATTCGAGTTAATATTCAGCACAAGACCCCAAGTTACAAATTATAATGAAAATTTCATAATAATGCAAAAAATTATGACATTTCAATGCACTGAGAGAGATTCGGAAGGTACAAAATACCCCTACTACTGCTACTCGCAACCATACAACCAACCCCTTGGCCTCACAATTTTTTTTTTAAACATAAAAGTTAAGAAGAACTTAACAGAAATTAAAATACATGATTCCCCACAAAATCAACCCACCAAAAAACCCAAACAGCTCTATCAATACCTCTAAACAACAAACTAAAAAAACTTTTCTAACAGCCAAGTTGCACTCCCAAGGCCAACCACCCACGCCTATGAAACTGAATATTTTATTCGCCTAAGTTCAATAGCCCAAGACCTACGCTGCTACACTGCTTCACACCCATGCTACTACACACCTGCTACACTGCTACACTCCCATGCTACACAGCTACAACACTACTACACTCCAGACAACACTGTTACACTCCCATGCTGTTACACACCTGCTGCTGCACTCCCTACACCCACGCCTATAATGTTGCACTCCCAAGGCCATCCACCCACCTGAACACAGCTCATACACCACGCCAAGACAGCTCATACACAATGCTGCTGACCAACGCCAATGCTGCTGTCCACCCCACCGGAAAACTCCATAGCCAACGACCAATGACCAAGGCCACACCACCGGAATCAACCAAGGCCACACCTCCATTGATTAACCCAAACTCACCCACGCCTCCTTGTCTATCCCCTTGCTGGCCAACTACTCCGAAATGTCCACCTCTGTGCCGACTCCTCCCTTCACACAACCGTTACAGAACTCGTAAGATGACGACCCAAACACCGATCAACCGCTGAGACACCTCCAAACATCTGGACGAAGATCACCCCTCAAACTCCCACTCGAAGAGGAGCGCTCGAATGAACACATATTACATTATCAATACACCCCCCACTATAGGAAGCCAACTATACTACAAATTATTAAAAAAAAAAAAATTTAAAAAAATACTTACAAAAAAACATTTATACATTACAATATGAGCCTAAAAAAGTATCCAAGAAAAACCTAGAAAAATACCCATAAATTTTAAGATATCTTTTCATAATCCATGAGTATTTCTGATAGAAAGCATAGAGGAAAGCATGGTTACACTCTCATAATCACAGATTCGAGTTAAAATTCAGCACAAGACCCGAAGTTACAAATTATGATGAAAATTTCATAATAATGCAAAAAATTATGACATTTCGTTAAAATTTTAAATTAATGATTTATAATTATTGTGTCATTTGGAATTTTAAAATATCACTTAATTTCTTTTTTTATTAAATAAAAATATAAATATGTTGAGGTTACTATTTCGCTAACATCTTACCTTGCTCTTCGACGTCTTTACTTTTACAGCATGTTTGATTGGGGGGAGTGGAGCATAGGATTGGGATTATTAATCTGTGAATCCAATTATCCTATATTTGTTTTAACATTTTGGTTTAGTATAATTAATCCAATGGATAATTAATCCAACAAATTTATAAGATTATTAGTAATGGGATATGGGTGAGATTATTAATCTAATGGATATTAATCCAATTGGATAGTGAACACCACACTAATTTAATAGGATTATTAATACTTCACTATTAGTCTTGTGAATCAAAGATGGCTTTGAAGTGTAAGTTGGTGGATAAAATTCAACTGATACAACAAAGAGCGGCGAAGAGAAAGAGAGAATATCAAGACACTCACCTGTTAATTGTTTTCTTTTTCTTTTTCTATTTTCCTTTTCTATGTGGATGTTGAAGCGCGGAGAGACTCAGCGGAGATAACCCAATACGAACTGGTTGATGGAGAGGAAACAAGAGGGAGCATATAAAAGGGGAGAGAGAGAGAGAGAGAGATATGGGAGAAGAAAAAGTAAGCGAATAAGAGCATCTCCAACCATGCTCTCTAAAATGCCTCTTCAAAGTACACAAAAAACTACCTTCTTTATTTTGCCTAACTAGTTTAGCTAGTGTACACTCCAACCATACTCTTTATTTTAGCTAACCATTCAAACTAACCAAGAGGGAGCATATAAAAGGGGAGAGAGAGAGAGAGAGAGAGAGAGAGATATGGGAGAAGAAAAAGTAAGCGAATAAGGCAGACACTTACGAGTGCACATCTGAAAATTAGCATTTTAATGGGAATAATTTAAAATTAAATATAATTTTTATGGAGGTATAAATATATAAACAAAAATTATAGTAGCATTTGGTAGAGTTTTTTAAATATGATTCGAAAATAATAGTTGTATTTTGAATTTGTGACTTTTGAAATTACGATTTGAGTGTGAAAAATTTGTTTGGAGAATGAGTTTTGAAAAAAGTTTTGAATTGAGTGGAAAATTTTTGATGTGACATATGATATTTGATACAATTTTTTTTTTTATCGGCAAAAAAAAAACTTTATTGATGAAATAATACATACAAAATATGATAAATTACATCAATAACACGTTTGATGTAAAAACTTACAACTCATAATCAAACACACAACTCAAAATTCTATTCAAAATTCATAATTTTTTAAAAAAAATATAAAAAAATATCAAGTGCCAATTGTAAAAATAAAAAAATAAAAAAATTTGTACTATTTTGGTCAACCAACTGGACGTTCGGGGAACGACTGGTTGACCCAAATTTTCTTAAATAGATATAAAATTAATTTTCAAAAACGATAATCAAACCCTAGGTGCAAATCAAGAGGTAAAACATATATTTTCAAAACTCCTCCAAATAGAACTTATGAATTTTCGATACAATTTCCACTTACAACGACTTGATTGATTTAAATTGTTTGGACTCAAGTACAAGCTCCTTTAAAACAAACAATTGATTCCCAAATAAAAAATATAGACGGTTCACATGTTTGATTGGATACTCTGCCATCAAATTGTCACTATATGTGCAAGTAATATATTCGTACGTATCAAGTCGACTAGATTTTTTGTTTTTTTTTTTTATCGGCAAGTTGACTAGATTGACCTTACAGAATAGTGATTTTTTTTTTTTTTTAAATTATAAATTTTATGAGTTCAAATTTGGACTCAAGTCCAGACTCTACCTTTTTCTTTTTTCTTTTATTTAATGTTCAAATTTTGAGTGGGAGCCTTTATTGATACAATTTTTCCTTGTATAGTAAAATTTTCACAATATATGATATATTCAAAATTAAAAAGTTTGAATTTTAAAAAACATCCAACTTTTTGATAGTGGTGGATTTCCAAAACCCCCCATTGTTGGTATTATTAGTTACAGTGGTGGCGTTCAAAAACTTCCCTTTTTTGGTGGTGGATGTCATAGGGCTATTTTGGGAACTTGGCTAAAAGTCACTTTTTTTGGTTAGTAGCAAAAGCCAAAAGTTGGCTTTTTTGGCTTTTTTTTCATTTGGCAAGTTGGTTTTTAGCCAACGGTGCAATTACAATTTTACCCCTCATGAGTCACAATATGTTACATAGGTTCAGTTGTAAATATTTTAAATAAATAGAGGTAGTTTAGTTATTTTATTATGATTTGACATCATAAACAAATATTAATCAAAAAAGTCAAAAGTCACTTTTTACCAACTTCCCAAATCATTTGTCTAAAAAAGCCAAAAGTTTGGTTAAAAGCCAAAACGATGGTTGCAGCATTGTAGATAGTGATGGAGGTTGTAGCAATGACAGTGTTAGTAACGGCGGCGGCAGTGGAGGTGAAATTTCTTTGTTGAAACTTGAAATGATTGTTATTTTCATTTGTCTATGTTGGATGAGTTTTTTTCCCCCACATATTTTTCAAGACCTAGACAATGCTCACATTAATTTTGCAAAAATACGTTGTTTAGCACTCAATTTGTAAATAGAATTTGAAAAATTGTTTTAGCTCCAACAAAAAAAATTTGTCTATTGAAAACTTCTTGGGTGGTTTTGGTTGGAAGTAGTTGCTCTTTGGTTTCTTTCAAAAGATATTTAACTAAGAAAGAAATTTCTCTATTTCATAAAATAATTTTTATGTAATATTTTTATTTTCTATTTGACACAAATATATATATATATATATTAGCTGCAATAAAGAATAAAATAACAGACCCAAATATCGGGCCTCTAGATTTGCCCAAGTCCGGTCCAAAAAATAATTATAAATCTTAAGCCCAATTATCAGATTATATAATTTTAAAACTGTCACAGTTATTTATAATTTTTTTATTAAAAAAATGGTCTTGAACTATTCACTCAAGATTCTATGCTAACCTTAATTTTCTCCACTAGTCATAACTCGGAAGTCATTAAAAATGATTAATTCTATTCTTAATTTTCTAGACTTGTTGTAGCCCATAAGTAATTTATAATAATTAAAAAACTTGCTCCACTTGTTGTAACCCAAAAACAAAAACAAACCGGAATGTAACTATAAGATGGCACTTCACCAGTTTTTATTGCTAAACAAAGACTACGAATCTCATATATTCAACCCCCACCCCAAACCAGAATAAGAATAACTTGTTACCAAAGGGCAATAATAAACTGAATTGAGTATACACTTGTTTATAGTTTAATTAATTGAGAATATAATTACATAGTTTTACTCAATAATCTTGTGTAATTATTTAATAAAAAAAGTTAAATAGTGTGAAAAAGAGTATTCATCATGTCATGTATGGTCTTGACATCAAGAGATTATTTGCAGTTAAAAGGTTTTGAACCTGACATTTTGTACGGAGTAGCTCTATCTATTTGGTATTCCCAATCGATAGAAAACCACAACACATATGAAGTGTCATCCACTACAACATATAATGTAACGCTCCCAAAATAAAGTACTAAATCCAACTCATGAACGGAGGAATAACAGAGATAACATACTTTTATTCATCAGAGTTCGCATTACAAAAGATACCACATGCAATATATATTCATAAATATGCATCCTGAATCTATAACGTGTAGTACCAGTTAGTGATTAACAAAATAAATACCCTACGGGCTTACATCTTTCCAAGGCATGGCTTGGTTATAACAAAAGAGAGAGTCATAAGCTCAATATATATAAAGTCCTCGACTTGAATAAACATTTAAGCACAAAATAATAAAAAGAGCCCCCAGCTCCTAAGTCCTTCCAAGCTACGTCCTTGGAAGAAGCATGTCACCAGTACCTAAAAATAGTTTCCAAAGTAGGGTGATTCAAAACCCAATAAAAACAATCTAACACAATATATGAAGTTTAACGAAGATATAAGTGTCAAGTGTATATTCAATATTTATAACAAAACACGCATTCTCCATACAATCGTACGGTACCGATATTCACATCCCTATCCATTCCCATCTATTCATTTCAAGTTAATTCATTTCATTTCATTTCAATTCATTGGCCAAGCTTATAATTCTCTAAATAACCCAACTGAGACTACAACTCAATGGTTCTCAAATCAACGCAATCATCATACAAGCACTTCAATCTTGCCATTTTACGGAGCGGGATCGACACCCATGTATACACATGATTTTGGAACTTTTATCCTGGACACTCCGACTAACTTAATTTCAATGGAGTCCATCCCCTATCTCCTCACAAAACATGGAGTACATCTCTTTTCTCCTCCCAAAACATTATACATATACAATGCATTTAAAGTACCGTCATATTCAATGACTATCAATTATACATATTCAATGCCTTAACATACCATCATATTCAATGACACAATTAAATGATTAGTTTCAATTCACCTAATCCTCATAATCAACAACAAAGATCTCTTTATTGATGATGGAAACCTTACAAGAAGGAAGAAACATCAACAAAAGAGAGGAAAAGTGCAAGCCATCACATGGCATCACCAAACCAAAACCCTGTTGGTGAGGAACCAACAGAGATAACCACTCACCGAACCATCCACTCAGCAGATTAGCCAACAAAGATAACCAACAAAGATAACCAACAGAGAAATCACAGCATCAGATTAGCCTCCAGGGAGTGACAGATTAGCACACCCCTCTGTTACAGAGATAGCCACTTACAGAAGCATACACACAGCAGAATTTTCAGCAGCAGATTAGCCCACAACAGATTAGCCCACTTACAGCATCACACACAGCAGGTTCACAGCAGCAGTCATCAGATTAACACACAGCAGTATACCTACAGCAGCTCCACAGGTTCACAGCAGCAGTCATCAGATTATATACGCCGATTATATTAGACCATACACCCCAAAGCCAGTCCATAAACCAAACTCAGCAGGCTATAAGCTGAATAGAAACCATGGCCTTCCTCAAATGCATTCCTTAACCTGAGCCAAATTGATGGTTAGATCCAAGACAGAGTACCTGATCTTTTTTACAGCAGCTTTAATCCATAAGGCAAATCTAATCTTTATTAGCTCACCTAACTCAACTGCACTTGGTTGCACTCCACTGAACAAGCATTCATTCCTTAACTTCCAGATGGACCAAAGTATAATACATGGCAAGGCTCTCCACAATCTCCTAGCTAATCTCTTATACTTCCATCCTATCCACCAATGAAACAATCCATCAATATTCCTTGGCACCACCCATATACACCCCCACCAAATCATTACATCAGACCACACCTGCCATGAGAATGGACAGTGAAGTAAAACATGCATAGCAGATTCATTCTCAACTTTGCAAAAAACACAGCACAGGAGCCTCATTGTTCAGCACACCTATATGTTTTAAGAAGACCCCTGTTTTCACTCTATTCCTCCAGGCTAACCACCCAAAAAATTGAACTTTGGGGGGAATGTCATTATTCCACACAAACTTACATAGTTGGAGAGGAGGGCCCAAGAGGGAATCACTATACCGATAAATATCTGAGGCCTTAAACTTGTCACCAACAGAACCATTCCAAACAGGGCAGTCTTCCTCATGCAGTCCA